CATCAGTTTTTACCTGACGGCAACATCGACAACGACGAGACTGAAGCCGGCCTTATCGTCGCCGAAACGCTGAGGTCGGCGGCCACAGTCGGCACGGCGTCGAAGAAGCGCAAGATTTCTAGCGATTAGTGAGAATTAGTCAACTATTAATCACTGAGTTGACTCACCAATCGCATCCACGAGTCATTAGTTAGTCATGATTCACTACTGGAAAAAGCAGGGTGACTCGCCGTCCCTGCATCAAAATGGTCTTGCATCATTTTGTGGAGCTACGCAACATAGGTCTGGCGCACGCTGCTGGTCGATCAAGTAGCTTGACGATGGACCAGATAAAAAAGAAGCCCATCGTGGTAATCCCGGTAATAAACCGCCTGACAAATGGTCCGGCATCAAGGGTCTAGCAGCCACGCGTAAAGAATAATTTTAGAATATAGAACTTGTAAAATTAGCTGCGATTCACAGTACCTTGCTTCGCTCGCCCCCGCCATCTCCTGAAGGCGCGCCGCATCCGATTGCCGGTTTAGCCCCACGCGTCGCACTTGCACAGCAAGATAGCGCGCGAAGGAAATCGACGGCCTCGAAGCCCATTTTAACGAACGACAACACAAATCAAGCCCCGTCTGTTTATAGACGCGTGAAATGATGCCGTGATACACAAGCCGCTTACGTTATTCTCTCTATCGTCACCTTCGCACGTATTTATTCGCTCGTCAGTCGACGCATTCTTCGCCGTTTGCCGGCGATACAGACATTCCCAAGAGCTTTCACAAAATATCTTGCACATGGTAGATACTTTGTGATATGCGTGGAAGTTTGGCCAAGCCAAAAAGTGTGTCAAAAGTGTCCGATCTGGGTCTCAACTTGCTCCCGGCGGGTTTCTCGGCCACCGGCACCGCGGATTGAGACGATCACGTATCTCTTGCCTAGCCTGGTTGGTTGTTCTGCATGCATTTGGCTGGTTGAATAGTACTACAGGATACCTCCATTATCGGTCGCTTTGAGATTCTTGAATTTGGCGCGATCGGTCCCTGGATCGATCCTCGCACCGGCAGCCTTTCTGAGTGCAATCTTGAACGCAACCTTAACAATTGTCTCGACTAATCGCCTGATGCAACTCGGGTTGAAGGCTTTCTTTTCTGCACAACTCATCACGTATTTAGATGTAAGCATTGCGTGGATGATGCATGTCATTCATGTCAACACTGGAGTTTAATAAGTCCCAAGCCCTGTTGGCGCTACATTCGGCGCCGACTCGAGCGGCCCAGTTTCAACATGTAGTGTGACTTTAGGGGCCCAGTTGTGACGGGTACGGTAGTGTGACTTGGTACTGTATTCGGTCATCAAATGCGATGGGTGCAGAAGGAAACCCTTTGCTCCGAGCGATCCATGGCCCAGGCCAGGGCGACAACGTGCTGTGTTGTGTCTGTCATCCCAACGACACCACCGATGGACGTCCGACCTGTCCAAAGTGCAGAAGACGAAATCAGCCAGGTCTATCGTTCAATATGGACAGTTGGTTCGTCACTTCGTGGTTGTAATTGTGCAGTTGTCGACCTGGATCGGGACCAAGCTGGCGGTTCTGGTGGCCCACGGGACCGCGTTCTCGCTACGCAGTGACGTTCCGCTGCGTCGCTGGCGAGCGTGTCCACAGCTTCTGCAGCTCGCTCTTCGCGACGATCAAGACCTACGACCTGGTGGCGCCACGTACGATTCCGCAAGAATGGCGATCGGCGCGCAAGATACTGGCAGAAGGTGCGATGCGATTATTTAAAAAGAATAAAAAAAGTGTTTTTTTCCATGTGGCAGCATTTTTCATTTCGAAGGGTGGCAGTTGGGACGGCGACCGACGGAGCATGCTGGACAACCTCAAGCTGCGTGTGCTCGAAGGCTCCAAGCAGCTTAAGTCTCAGGTCGAGGGCCACGCCGTGGACATGAACCAGCGCATGGCCGTGAACCTCAGCTCCGCGTCCGAGCGCCTTGGCGCCGTGGCCACGGCCACGATCACGAGCGTCAACAACGCGTCCATCGACATCAACAACCGCATGCACTCGAGCGTCAACTCGGCGTCGGAGAAGATCACTGCCGTGGCGTCCGCGACGGCGCAGGTCGTCGTCGCCCCCGTCGTACAGAGCGCGCCGCCGCCGCTCGGGGCCAAGGACGCTGACGACGTCGTGGGCGGCCCGTTCTTTGCCGCGCTCGCGTACCGCCAAGACCAAGTACACACGGGCCACAAAGCGCTCTTGGAGAGGTACAAGCGTCGTCTGGACCATGCATGACGCTCATCT